TAGGTAAGTTAGTATTTTTAATTATTTGAGGATATTATTTTTATGCATTGTTTTAAATGTAAGCTGAAAGTAAAGTAATTTGGTATTATTGGGAAAATTGTTATTAGCAATGATTTAGTTTAAAGTAATCGGGATTGTAAGCTAATTTTTATTAATTTAATGTATGTGGTTATTTATATTTTTAAGTAGTGTTTTTAAATTTAATTATATTTTAATTAAATGATAGTTATTTTGTGAATTTTATGTTTGTAGGAATTTGGTATACGTTTTAGTTGAAGTAAACGTGCATGGAAATAATTTAAATATTTGACACTATGTATTTGTAATGCTTGTGGTATGAATTCGTTGGTGACGTTTATAACATAATAGATAATTTAGAGGGAAAAGTTTTTGGATATTTTATTTATTTTATACATGGAAATGTTCATATTTGGAAAGGGTATATACTTTTTCGTTATTAGGTAATTTCATATATGCTCTTTTTAACGGGTGTAAAGATTCAGAAAATTGTCATGCATTTTCGTGAAATTTTTCTAATTTATGAGAAAAAAGCAGTGTACATGGATATGGTGAAGAGTGTACGCAATGCCATTTTTGTGCAATTCTGGGATGTTTTTTTCAAGTAAAAATAAGTCGACGTGTACATGGTTTAGTGATATTTTAATTAAATGATAGTTATTTTGTGAATTTTATGTTTGTAGGAATTTGGTATACGTTTTAGTTGAAGTAAACGTGCATGGAAATAATTTAAATATTTGACACTATGTATTTGTAATGCTTGCGGTATGAATTCGTTGGTGACGTTTATAATATAATAGATGATTTACAGGTAAAAGTTTTGGATATTTTATTTATTTTATGTGTGGAAATGTTCATATTTGGAAAGGGTATATACTTTTTTTCGCGATCAGGTATTTTTCATATATGTTCTTTTTACCGGGTTTAAAGATTCAGAAAATTGTCATGTATTTTCGTGAAATTTTTTTAATTATGAGAAAAAAGCAGTGTACATGGATATAGTGAAGAGTGTGCGCAATGCCATTTTTGTGTAATTCTGGGATGTTTTTTTAAGTAAAAATAAGTCGACGTGTACATGGTTTATGTATATGTGTTATTTTGAAAAACGCATAAGGAGTATGGTATTGTGCACTTTTTCCCAATTTTGCAGTGAATATTTGTCATGATTAAGCAGTTTTGTTAGATAAAATTTCTAGCATAAGTGTAATTCGGCTAGTAGATTGTTGGAAGAAGTGTTCAGTAGATAAAAAGAAAAGAAACGTCTTTACTTCGTGAAGACAAAATGGCGGCGGGAAAAAAAAATAGAGGTTTGCTGTAGAAGAGTTGGTCGCCAAATTTTCGCCAAAAAATCGCCAAGTTACCATAATCTAAAGATCAACCAAAAAAAAAAAGCTATGTAAGGAGGACCGAGGTGGCAATAAGATATAAGCAAGCTTAGTAGCAGGTCTCATAACAATATATTAGAACACAAAATTCTTGCGTAACAAAACATTTGCTAAATTTTTTGGAAAATTATGTTCTCCCAAATGAATCAACAATTTTACACAAATGAATCAATTATTAAATTTAACAACAATAAAAAAATTTTATGAATAACAATTTCAATTATGAATAAAAAATTTATGAAATTATCATTATATAAATGAACTGATTTACTATCATTTATCAGTAGATTACAAATGAATCAAGAATTTTATTAACAAATGAATCAACAAATATATCAAAAATATTTTTATTTAACAAATTACAAACTGAATCAATAGTTTTATATAATTGAATCAACAATTTAATACTTTACAATTTTTAGGATAAATTTCATATATCTCACAAATAAATCAACAAGTCAGTTCATAATATCAAAATATTATAGAATAAATTTTTACACTGTTTGTCTCCCAAATGAATCAACAGTTTAAAAAATTATCAACAACTTATCAACAAACATTGAATAGATGGTTTCTTATATTTTATATACTCTACTGCAAGTAATTCGTAATTTTCTTTTAACATAAAAATGTAGAAAATTACATGGAAAAATGTTTTATCAAATGATTTAATTTAAAAAAAAGAAAAGAAACTCCAGAGGCACTTGTATCTAACAGTGACCACCAGGTATTACCTAAATACCCAGATTTCTAAACTAAGTTTAGTACTTTTAATTATTTTGTAACAGTTTTCTAGGTCCATCCTCTTCATTTATAGTAGAAGCCACTGAATGTGATCATGTCTGTCCTTAAGTATTCTGATAACATTAATTAAATGATAACATTAAGAGGTGAAAAATATATCCTTCAAAATATGAATGGAACTTGACTAATTCAATATAAATGTAATCAGAAACATGTAAATACTTATTTTCACAGCATTTTGATTCAGAAAAAAGTCATTAGCAGTTGACTGTTTACACTAAAGTTTGTTTTTCAGAACAGTTTATAATGTTCCTGGAAATTATTTGCCCAATGATATACCTCTACTTTTAATACTCATAGGCCATCCTCAACTTCGAATGAGTAGGAAATTCACTGATTTTGTCATCATCTTCTGCAGAAAGTTTATCATATGATGTTCTTGGATTTGTTTCAAAAAGTTAAGAAGTAGTGATCTTTTTCTGTCACTGAATCTACAGACTGAGATTTTTCATTGGTATCCATCTGGGCATTAAATTCCTCACAATTCATGATAGTTGGAAATGTTTCTAATACTTAATCTTCTTTTATTTTACCATTTATTATAAAACTGATAAGCTTGAAACAATACTTCATAGTCTTTTCTAAAGAGGTTCCAAGACTTTAATGGATGCTTATATATGATCCTGTCGACCATGAAACTTTCGCCGAACAGCATGATTTAGTGCCAGTTATATATAAGCATAACTAACAACACAGTAATAATATCTGCACTTTAATTTGATGTAATAATCCTGATTGATAATTTGATGCACTCCAGATTGATTTTTGATAAGCCATCTTTTGTTTTCACGAGAAAGGATATAAATTAATTGTTATTCCTGTATATTTAATTATTAGAGTTTGAGATTTACTTTCTACAGAACAGCAAGCAATGTGCTGTTTGCAAAGTTAATGAAATCTTACCTTAAAAAAAGTGTATGTTAATAGACACCATGTGGGATTATTTGAAAATGAAAAAAAAATGGTAATGCAATATGAAGAGAATATCTGTTTGAAAAACAACATAGTTCGTGGGCTGGAGAATCATACTGATTACACTCTGAGACCTTTACAGCTGATGTGGAGAACTCATAGCATTCCAAACAGAGCTTCCAGTAAAATCGAAGGGCTTAACAAAATAGTAAAACCAAAGAAAGCCTTTTTCGAAGTGTAAAAATGAAGCAAGTTGAATACTGATTGTTTGTTAAATAAAAAGCTGCCAATTACTTTAGAATTTCATAGGAACAATTCCTGCAGCTTTGGAAGAATATTTGCCAACTTTCATGGTTTGATAGGAGCCAGCTTTCGCAGTTGACAGAATAATATATAAGTACCCTTTAATGCTGCCTTAAATGAAAATCGAGATGCCTCATGATTTAATCTTTTACTTGACAATACATCTCAATCATTTGGCAATTTTATCTCTTATTTAGCTATTTTATCTCTTTGGCAACATTACTTCTATTCATTCTATGATATAAAAATTCATTCTGTAATAGTTTGATAACATTAATAGACATGTTGATCACAATAAGCAATGTATTTTCTATGTTTTCATATAATACAAGTGCATGTGCAGTGGAAGACTTAATATGATAACATATCTAAATGATAAAATTAACCATGATCACATTAAGCAGCCCCTATTGTATAAGCATTCACAAAAAACTTACAAAATTTATATGTTACAAATAGAATATGAAAGCCGACCAACCGGGACAGTGGTTAGCGATGCTGACTGTTGAACTGAAGGGCCCGCGTTGAATTCTTAAAAAGCCATGGATATTTGTAAATGTATAGTGTCAGTTGGGCATGGTGGCACTCTAAATATGCTGGAAGCCGAAGACTTCTATAGAAGTTGTTGACAGAGGAAGAGGAATGAGAGGCCCTCAGACCTGTCACCCTTCAGATGCTGTCTCTCAAAATTGGGGTTGGAACTGAGCTAAAATTAGGCAATCACCTATATGGTGCTTAAGGCTCTTGCAAACAATAGGCACATTTGATTCCTTGCCATGATGTATGTCGCTGACCTTTGTCAGACAAGTGAGACTGGTTACAACAACAACAGAATATAAAAGAGTTACAGTAGTTTCCAAACTTTTTTTAGTGTTGCAAATTAAGTGCATAAAATTAGACTTGAAAAGGCAGAGTAAAGAAAGAATACTAGAAGAAAATAATGTAGTAATGAAGCAATAAAAAGTAAACAACTTTATGTAATTATTGATAATCAATTACAGTACAAAGTACGGAATGATCTATAATCCGGATCTCAAAGCTACAAACTTTATGCACATAATGCGTTTATGCATGCGCGTTTAATGTATAACGGACGGTATAAGCTAGGCTAAAATTATCTAAGGCATTTCACTTAATGTTGCAGATTGCACTGTTCTTTAATCTTCTAATTGGATCCGGTTTATTATTTTTTGCAGACTGTTAGAGCAATTTTATAAAAATTAAGCTTGAATTTTCGATTATGTCAAAAAGAGTTTCTAATTCTGGAGCTGCCAAAGGATCTACAAAGCGAAAGCATGTTTCAATGTCCATTAAACAAAAAGTGGAATTACTGCAAAAATTGGATAAAGGCATATCCATCTCAAAATTATGCGAGAAGTATGGCATTGAAAGTTCACTATATATGACACAAGAAAAATGACCTTTTTGAATTTTTTGTGGAAGCATCTTAAACAACTTACATTGAAAGAAATGTTTATTAAAGTAAACAAATAAATATTAAGCATTTTTTTGTAAATTTTGATACCCTTTAGATCATAACTGTTCTTTATTTCATAAATTACGATTTCATATTTTTAATTGTATAATTTCTGCATGCCACCTTACCAGATTTAAATTGATGATCTATAATCCAGAAAAACCACTAATCCGGAATCACCAAAGTTCCGACGAGTCCAGATTACGGACTTTGTACTGTAATAAACAATTATGGCTGTATATGTGTGCAGATATATATTTATATGTATATATGTAGAACAGCATTATACATACATATATACATAAAACAAGACATACTGAAATACAATATATTTTATGATTCACCAAAAATTACCTACAAATCTACTGTTGGGTTTCAGTACACATTTATGGAAACACTGACATTATTGCACAAAAACATTATTGAGCTAACATTGTCCCCAAATAGCAGGAATGAATGAATAGGTTTATTTACACATTTTCTTTAAAATTTAAAATTACAATTTACCATATAATTTATCAAATGGTTAAATAAATACACAATATGAATATTAACACATTCATTGCAGCAATGACATGCCTTTGTCCTACTCCATAAATTTTGTGAGAACAAAATTGTATGGACTGGGATGCATCTACAAATTAATAAATAAGTTACCGCAATAATATGAGAAAAAAAAAACTTGTATAGAGAAGGAAGTATGTCGTTGCTAGCATTCAGAAAATATTCCTGAAAAATGAGATTAGCGTACATAGCAATGTAAGTGTTGAGCAAATAAAAAAGGAAAATGTGGTTATTCTTTGAGAACAACTCCATCATTTAAATTTTATGATAAACTAAATCATACTTAAAAAATTATCAGATAAATTATTATTAAAAGAACCAGCAACAATTCAGTGAGATATTTTACATAACATACTAATTATACATGAAATTTTCAACAGAATTACAATTAAATACACAATCAGTATTGATAAATATATTTTTCAGATTTAAGCAAAAATTATAAAAGTCTAAATTAATGTAAACCTGATGAGCGCTAATGTTGTTTCATAGATGACTAACCAACACCATCATATATTTTAAAGATTTCATTTTTTTCCCACTATGTGTGGATTCCATATAAAGATATTTAAAAATTTGGACAAATATAAATATGTAAATGACAGAAAAAGAGCACATTTCTAAATTCATTTTTCTGTAGCAGGGCAAACTTTAAATTCTTCTAAACTGCTCAGTTTTCAATGGCAATGAAAATGCAAGGCCACAGATTACAAATCTTATCTAAACGAGAAGCAATTTAGTAACATGGCTTCAAGAGGCAGAACACACTCTGTCTTACAACCTAAAAACCTCAGTTTAAATACATGAGCTAATGCGCATTCTGCCATGCATATGGAAGGAAATTATAGTAAAGGTCTAAAGAATTAAACTGTCTCACCTTAAAAAATATTACTTTAGTTTTCTCATTTTCTTTTAAATCATATGAACACATTTTCTTTTTAATTTAGAATAAGAATCTTTTTAGTTTATTATTTTTCTTTTACTTAATATTTTTGTTTGGAAGTTATTAGGATATAAGCATTTCTCTTATAAGATTCATTACAAAAGTCTCATCAAAGTCTGTGATTATTTCTATTTTATTTTGTACAGGATTATTTTCAGATACTTCTCTTTGAAGAATTGTCAGGCCTTTTGAATATGTACCACTGCATTCTACAGCAGCTAGATGCTTAAAGCTAGCCTTAACACAATCAGGATACAACACAGCGGCCACAGCTAAAAGATCACAGTCAAACAGTCTTTTGTTGCCTTTTGCAAGACCACGGGTAGCAGCATACTCTGTGATGCTCTTAAAGAACACTCCCTTCTTGGTGGTTATATGGATCAACTGGTCATAATGATCCTGTGTAAGGGGTGGAAAAGAGATGTTAATAAACACTTTTTAACATTCAAATTCTTTATAATTATATCAACAATATAATAAAATGCTGAATAATCTTGCATTTCCAGATCATATGGGATATTTTACAATTTAAATATTCATCAACTACTAACTAAGTTCAGTACCATGACAGAATTATTACCATTTAAATTCAATCATGCCTGCATAAGATTCATCCATTAACAACACATCACACTTTCACAGCTTACTACTGACTTCACCTAGTACATCTACGACAGTAGTTTTTGACCTTTTTTTGTCTCAATGTATTTTTTTCACCATTGCTAGATGACCATCCCCACTTCCTTTCCAAAACTAAAAAAAATGCATATACACTTTCCTTTTTTATATTTAAATTACTTCTTAATGTGTTTTATAAATTAAACAAGAAAATGCATTTAAAAATGCAAAAGCTTGGACAAAAATAGATTTTTACATGCACAAACTAAAAATGAACACTTAACAGGTACATAAAAAGCTAACCTTATCCCTTTGAAAATATGAAATTCCACCTTGGTCACAAACACCTGATCTACAAAACTGTAAGACTAAATTCATGCAAAATCAAAAGCTCAAAGAAACAACACAGTTGTTTACTAGCACTCAATATATGAATTTTGTATAAAATATTAGAAATACATTGTATTCCTTGCCAGTGTGTCAAAATATGCAAGATTTAAAATTTTAAATTAAAGAATAAGAAATAAACATTTAAGAGGAAGAACATTTATAAATCATTTACCATTAATCGTTGCTAGTCTCTTGAGTACATTTATACATTTTCTTTAATAATTAGGTTTAAAGCTACAATATTAGTCATTAAATTTATAACTGACTCATTAGTCATTAAATTTGTAACTTTATATTCGGCAAAAATATTTCATGCACTGCTCTACATGAGTTTTTTAATTAAAGATATGAAACTTTTAATTATTTTAGTTTAATAAATATTTTATAAAATGGAAATTTTATTCCATAGTGATTATACAAAATATGGATTTACTTTTTACAATTGCATCCATTCACAGCAATGTTTGAAAAATAAACGTCTCACATCAATATTTAAAAACCTAATATTTATTGCACATATTTAGACATATTATGCATATACTAGAATACCTCAAAACTTTCATTTGAAAAAGACATCAAGAAATATATTTAATTTTTCATTCATATTCCCTTAAACACATACAGTCAAAAGTCGTTAATTCGGACACCCATAATCCGGACCTCAAAGCTACAAACTTTCTGCACATGCGTGGCATTGACGCATGCGTGTAAGACCTTTACGGCTGCGAATATGCATGTGCGCGTGCGCAAAATACGTTTACAAATGCGCATTTAATGTATAACGGACGGTATAAGCTAAGCTAAAATTATCTAATTCAGTTAATGTTGCAGATTGCGTTGTTCCTTAATCTTCGAATTGGATTCGGCTTATTATTTTTTGCAGACTGTCAGAGCAATTTTTTAAAAGTAGGCTTGAACTTTCGATTATGTCAAATAGAATTTCTGATATATATTTACTAATATGCAAAGGATCTACAAAGTGAAAGTATGTTTCAAGTCCATTAAACAAAAAGTGGAATTGCTGCAAAAAGTGGATAAATGCATATCCTTTGTTTATCTAAACTTTAACGTTTGTTTATCTTTAATGCGGGGGCACGCAATGAACTGGAAGTTGATCTGTCCTTATCTTCAGGGCAGATGTTTTTATTTTATTTGGCTTATAATTCCTTACTAAATACAGTATTTCATCTCAATGTACTCTGTCTTTGATATGATTTAAATCAAATTCCTCGTCATTATAATTCGCTTCTGGTAGCGAAGAAAGTGACAGAGGTTATTGAAAACGAAAAAATTACGATTGACAAGTTAGTCGGTATTCTCGACACAGCAAGTACAGGACTTGAACAGCGGAACTTTGTAACTGAACAAGAAATTATGCCTATTTATAGAATTAGAGAATGTATTATCACATAAAAAATGAAGCAACTTAGACAACTTACATTGAAAGAAATGTTTAATAAAGTAAATAAATACTTTTTTGTGTGAGGCTTTTTTTTTTTTTTTTTTGTAAATTTTGATACTCTTTAAATCATAATTGTTCTTTATTTCATAAATTACGGCTTCATATTTTTAATTTTATAATTTCTGCATGCCATCTTACCAGATTTAAACTGATGATCTATAATCCGGAAAAATCGATAATCCGGAATCACCGAAGTCCCGACGAGTCCGGATTAACGACTTTTGACTGCATATATAAAGAAAAATCTTTCTTGGAAAAAAAATTTTTTTTAATATTACAGTACCAATAATTCTTTAAATAAAAAATTTTATTCAAAGAGGTTTAAAATAATTAGCTTATATGTGCATCACTTTTCTTAATTAATTCAGTGAATTTTCATGCTCAAAAGTTTTAATGGGTTTTATCCAGTACCATTCAGATATTAAGAATCTGAGTTTGTGTCTAGCAGTGTGGTATGAAAATGTAGCTTCTTTAGCAGCACACTTCAGATCACAGTTGTTGTTATATTACTATCTTTGGTTTTAAAAAGATCTCTTATCTTTGTTCAAGCAGTAGCATAATAGCACTCTTGCATTTAACTGTTTTCATATTGTCTTCACCCTTTCTGTATGTGCAAAGAAAATTCTCCAGCACAAAGAGTGCATAAACACATTGATTGTTATTGTCATTACAAAATTTCAAAAACGTGTATTCCTGTTGCAGGTTAACATTAAACACACTTTTTTTTTTTTTTTTTTCTTTGCTTATTGCTAAAAGATGAGACAAAAAATGAATGGCGGTAAATGAGCAAAAACATGTAAATGAGTTATTTCACCCACGAAAGAAACCTAAACACATTGCCTCTGTAGTGATGCCAAATAACTAAAGTAAAATGGTGTGGCGAGACTGGTAGCCATGCCTCCGTCAAAATTGACATCAGTACTTCCTCCAAGAATGTGTAAAAATGCAATGTCGAATATATAGTTTTAAAGTAATAAAAATGCTCATCTGCCATAAAATTCTCAAATCCCGGACGTTACCACAGACTGCACTAAAATGCCAGGACTGACCGGGCTAATCCCAGACATATGGTAAGCCTACATATCTTGCATTCTAATTGAGCTACTTTCGAAGTTTAAATGTTATTAGGTTCAGAATTGATGCAATTGTTATACAAAAATAAGCACTTACTATATATGCAAAATATAGGTATAAATTCAGTTGCACAAAATATGAACTCTAAAACTATTGTGTTAAATGCAAAAATTAAACAAATAAATAAATGAAACGATACACAAAAACAGCAATGCGATTAAAATGAATTTAAATATTTACAGAAATTTACAAAATCAATGCACAAATTGAAAATCATATTTATAGGATTCAGTTACACCAACTTTTAGTTGCATTTCATTATGCTAAATCTTGCTCATTAATATCATATTTATAATATATTTGATATATCAGTCAGAAGAAAAACTATTTTTTGTTTGATATAATAAATATGAAATGCATTTTAATTTAGGTTTCCTTATGGGAAAAAATTACTTCTATAATTAAATATTTACCTTCCAATAAAATTTCAAAAAATATCATGAAAGTATCACTGAAAAAGTCGGCCTGAAAATTCACACTGAAAAAGTTGGCCACCAGTGCAGTATGTAATGATATACAGAAATCATAACAAGAAACTTACCCACTCAATACCATACTCAACAACTGTTTCCCAAGGTACTAGAACAAATGGACACAAAGTTTCAATCAGAACAATATTAGCTGCATCAGGATCACAGAAAAAATTAAATTCTGCTACCTCTGTTGTGTTCCCAACACCTAAATAAAGGTTTTGAAATTTAATTTATACAATATGACACTGATATCAGTAGATATCTGAATGCATTTAAGGTAAAAAATCTTAACCGCAGTTCCTAGATTCTGCCATAAATGCAAAGCAGTAGAAAGGCAAATCATCTAAAACCTTTAGTTCTAGTGCAGGTATATTAAACTTGTAGACTGCAGGACACATTTTTCTGTAGTCCTTAATTTACTATGACAAAATTAGAAAAAGCTAGGGATTAGAGTATATTTAAGGGTGCCCCTTGGTTTATCACTAAGTTGTTTCGTCTATCATCAAGTTATTGTTTCATTTATAGTAACCTGAGTACTTGAATGCTATGAAAACCCTATTATGACATAACTGATTGCAGTGAATTTGACTGATGAGAAAAGATTTGTAAGAGCTTGTTTGTGTGTTTGATGTTGGTTAGGGAGTACGTTGCTGATTTTGTGGTTTACACGGTAAAATGGCTGAATGTGGTAAGATTAATTTGAAGCTTCTGTATGATTTGGAATGAAAAGGAAAAAAAAAGCATTAATTGACTGGTATGTAAATGAAGATTTACTTAGTAGCCATTACAAGTGTCCTGTGTGTACGAAGGAAATGCGTATGGTCGAACGTCGGAAGATACCAGCACTATGGGGAATATTTTTTACTCTTATTTTTGAGAATTTATGTGGCAATGCCAGTATACAGATTCTAGTTCAGATAATTTTAGGAAGTTTTTGGATGCTGTTAAGGAATTTTGTTTGACTGAAGACACAGAAATTTCAAAATACGGTAAGTGGATATTTCCTTTGTGTAGTGCTTAGATGCTAAAAGGAATTTCCTTTTTTTATGTTACTTCATTCATTGTTTGATTTAAAATGTAGTTTACTGAGATTATATATATATATATTTACTGAGATTATATATATATATATATATATATATTGGCTGCTCCTTTGACCTTTTAAGTGAAAATAGATCGATGTGTACATGGACAAAGTCAAGGCAGTGTGCAATGCCAAGTTTGTGTAATTCTCTGATTTTTTTTTTAATGAAAATAAGTCGAGGTGTACATGGACACCGAGTTTGTGCAATTCTTTTACTTGTTATTTTGGCTTTATGTAGCGCAAAAATCACCGCTACACAAAGTCAATATAACAAGTCAAAGAACTGCACAAACTTGATGTTCATGTACCACCAAATTTTGCCTAGGGGCACCTGTAAATATCTTTTACCAAGCTAGGACTATAAAAAGGCAGCTTGTTTTGCATAAAATGTATTCTGTAAAATTTCACATACAAAATGCATTTTATACACGATTGCATTTGAGGAATGAATTTGAAGAGAAGATCTTTGATATCAGACTCGCAAAAGATAAGCTCTGACTTGCTTTTTGCTATTTTCTCAACTGATATCAGGAAAGTGCCAGTCCATTTCCAAAAGAAATTAATACTGTTACATTCTACGTGTTCATGGATTTGGGGTAATTGATGAAAACATTTGATGAAGAATCAAAACACATTTTTCAGTATTACACAGGACAGTACTAAACACGTGTTAAAGTCATCGAAAAACTATGATAAACCTGCTGAAACAATCAGCAACACAGCCTTCAGGCTATCAGGATATAACAGTGAAGACAGCTTAATGGCAAAGCACTAGTGTTCAGCTTCCCACTTTGTCAGTCGCTCTCGAGCTGATCTCTGAACTCACACTACTACTGAACTCTACTCTAGATACTCCCCTACTTTGAGTACAGGCAGGATATATGTAGCTTTTGGCCTACCTAAGAGCCTACCTTCAAGCAGGTTTGCAGGGAAACTGGTAAGAATTCATTCTAGAATGTTCTCACAGCGTCTATGGCATATCATCAATTTTATCACCAAATGCCACCAAAGGAGCAATTTTGCACCAAATCTGGCAACCCTAAACCCATTTTGCAGGGAAGCTATCTTACTGCAGCTGGGCATTTCGCAACAACAGAAATCCAGCCCTACTCAAATCTAAAGCAAATATTTAGTAAAATAGATATCCCAGAATTTTATAAATACTTAGCTGTGCTGCTCCCAGAAACATGAAATTTGCAATGTAAGTGATTTTTATGTTTGGTACAATGTATAAGAGTGAACACCCTTCTTGCTTTCATCTGTTTCCTTATGTTCCTTCCACTTTTTTAAGAACTTCAGAATTGAGATGTTTATGTATTTACTCACTTTTAAAAAAAATCATTAACTATGATTTTTTTTTTTTTTTTTTTTAAATAGTGGCCTGCATTGCTGTACTCGGATGACTTTTTGTCCCACTTTAGGTACTAAGTTTGACAAGATTGTTCTGGAGCAATGGTGTCCAACCCGGGGCTCATAGGCACCTTAAAGTCTGCAATCCTATCTTTAGGTGCCTGCTAGCTGCAATCAGAATATCACCCAGAGATAAAAGTTATATGCTAATCCTAATGTAAAAAACTACCCTAAAGAGATGCATGTCGCATACAGGAGCATTCCATTTGCATTCATCTACTCGTGTATTACCTAGATATAAATTTCAATCAATAAAATCTTCTCCAAAAGCTCAACAAAGCAGTCTTCTTACCCTCAAAAATGAAGCAAAGAATCAAACAAAAGCATACTTTAAGGAAAGTAAGTGACATTCTTGCATCACATAAATGGCATATTCAAACAAGGCCATTGTGAAGGAAGCTATACTGGTAATGTCAGAGTCTTTATTTTACAAATTTAAAAACAAAAATGAAATTATCTCAGCTATAAAAGATGTGTGTCTGTCACAAATCATGGTGACATGATAAGTGGATGATAAGGCAATTGATATCTAAAATCTCATTTGGAAAATGAGCATAGTTTTTCCTGCAGTTTGATAAATCCACTGCTACTGATTTATTGCTACTGCTGATGTTCACAAAAATGGTGTTTCCTAACTTCTCCATGAAATAGTACTGCTGACCATGTTGACATTAGCAAAACACACTGAAGGGCAAGACATATGCGACACATTTTAAAAATTATATTACTGAAGAAAACATACCACAATCCAAATGATGTTGCCTCAACTATGAAAGGGAATAAAACTGGGTTTTATTGGTTTTGTAAGCAGGAGGACATTTCCCAAATTTAATTCAAACCACTGAGTCATTCAACGAGAAGATCTGGCTTCTGAAAAGCTCAGTCTCAGAAGTAAGGTGGCTGACTCAAAGAAAAGTTTTAACAAGATTTGTTGGAATGTTGTAAGAGATTAAATTTTTTCTCATATCCAAAGACAACTATGACTAAATTTGGATGAAATGGAATGGTTTGCTGATTTGGCATTTTAATCAATACCATTCCAAAATTCAATGAGCTAAGTACCACACTACAAGAAAAAAGGTAACACCTATCAGAAACAATGAGCTCAATATCTACTTTTCTGGCTAAAATCAATATGTGAAAGGACTATCAATATTTTTCATCATTTACCCTCATTCTAACACCCTAGAGTGTACACACGGGTTTAGTATTTTACGAAGGCAGTAGCATTCTGGAGAACAAAAACATGAGCCTGACAGTTTCATAGCCCGAAAGGGAGATCATTCAAAACTGTTGGACCAAGGGGGATTTGGATGTAAGTTCCAAACTATTAAAAAAAAAAAAAAAACTAGCAGTCATGTTTAGCCATTTGTATTCTGTGTAAACTTTCTAGTGCAAGGCTGCTTTGTGTAGCACTGGTGAGGGCATTATCGACAACTAGTTAAAGTGTCAAGCTTAAAAACTACAGCCACACCCTTCCATGAGACCAAGAACTGGAAGTGGTGACCTGCAAGTGTAGTCAGATTGGTTGGGAAGTGAATACTTTTAACACATTGAGCCCGGCGGTGGTCCCTGGGGACCAGCAGTGAACTTTCCGTGTGACCGGCACTGGAATTTTCATTTGGCTGGCGTCAGTCTGTGGGACCAACAGTATTAACATTCATGACCATGAGCTTTGTCACACACAGGCAGGGCTTGTATGTCAGTAGCCGACAAAGCTCACCAACAGATAAGTTGTACTCAGTGCATGAAGTTGCGGATCATTCTGCAACATTCCACTGCTTGATCACTCGCGCCAGTGAACTTTCCATTCAGCCAGCAAATTCGGCGCCGGGTTCAACGTGTTGATGCTGTCAATAGTAAGTGTGGGACTGGTGGAAAGTTAGTGCATAACTCTATTAGCACAAATTGATGGCTTTTTTGGTCCTGTACCCCGCTCTTGCTAATACGGAGAACAAAAAGATAGTGGAGCAAAGGTAGTGGAGAATAAAGGATTTATTCTGGAGTATGATTCATTTAAACATGTTGAAAACCATTTGTTATTTAGCTAAGAATTTAAAAGAAAATTCCAAGACATGTATTCTATGATGCCCATTTTAATGTTAAAAAAAATCCTTCCTTGGAATTAGACATAACAGAAGTTTCTTAACAGAATGGAGGCTGAATTAGAGATTATAACTCTTGATACTGATATAACACTCAAAAGTACAGAAAAAATTGATGAAGTATTTAAACTAATGGACTCTATTAAACACAAAAATATATTTAGGTGTGCACTAACAATTTTTATGTCAGCAAACCTCAGTGGACAGGTTTCTTCAGAACTTAAAATACTAAAACCTAAGTGCAGAGATAAGCTGACTCCAAAGCATGTGGAAAACAGCACGGTGCTGGCATGCTGATTATTAGACTATATGTCAAATTTTAATACATTGCCAAAGAATATTAATAATCAAATACCTCATTAATAGCATGTTAATGACTTAATGAAGTACTCATTTAATAAGATATTAGACAAATTTAATGATTTAATAGTTACATTTTCTAGTATTACTAATTAGTTAATAGTATGTGCTTTTCTTTATTCTAAGTAGAAATAAAATTAATTTGAGCCTATAGTGTATCTGTATTTTATTAGTGGATAATTTTAGTTTTTAGTAAGTTCATATTTTCCCTATTATTTGGAAACACAAAATCACTATTTAAAGATAAAATGGGTACTAACTGAGACAGGTACACAACAAAAATTTAAAAATGAAAAACTTTGCTCCCAAAAGAAATATGCAAGCTTTTCCATTTAATATTCTAAGCAGGTTTTTGATTAAAGAGTAGGAAGAAATTAAAGCTGATGTTATTAAACATAAAAAGATGCAGCATTTCTGATTTGTTAGATGAAGAAATTTTGGTTTCTAGGGCTATCTGCCTAAGGGCACAGATGCCTTTGTGGAGGACTTTTTAAGGAACTCTGGCTTGTATACATGTTACACATGAGGAAAACCAGTGACCTCATGCAGCCAGCCCATTCAACTGGAATTGAACCCGGGTCGGAACTACCAGTGTTCAGTGATTTTACCACTCATCCACTGGTGGGCAGATGAGAAGATTATTTATGTAAAAGTAAATAGAAGATTCAGCTGTTTCAGATATCGAATGGAATCTGTTATGAGGCACTAACAGAAGCAGATGATGATGAAATTGATGTCTCTGGTTATAAGGGATTTTGTATTTATGGTTTTTTAAAGATTAATTTTAATGAAAAAAGTAGTGTATTGGTGGTATAAATATATTTCTGACATATTTCAACATATATAGCATATAAGATTTTCCAAAATATAATTGCTTCCTAGAATAAAATTTGTCTAGAGTATCATTCTTGCTTATTTTTAGAAGATTCTATTTTTGTTTTAATGTTTTATTTGTTAATAATAAGTTAATATATCAAGTGCACAATGTGTTTTCATGCTTTGTATAAATTTTTAATGAGTTACAAAATTTTTAAAAAACTTGGTACCAAGCCACTAAAAATATTACAATTAATTAACCTGACTTTTATGAATTTAATTAGCATCCTAGCACATTTGAAGCATTCTCCTGTAATTCTGAATTTGGATTGATGACACGCACAGTATTTCATTTAACAGCATAGATATCATTCAAAGCTTAAAGCATACAGTCCTTAACAAGAAAATTTAGAACAGGAAATAATGTCTGGCCCAAGTTTTTTCCAAAATGAAACATTAACATTCATCTGTATTTTTATGCAAAGAGGTAAAAAATGGGAAAAAAAAAATAAATCTAAACATATCCTAACAGAAATAATGATAAATGAAAATTTGAAAAGTATATAAAATTTTAAATAAATATATTTATTAATAAATTTATAAATACATTTAAATAAATGTGTATTTATATTTCAGAAATCTTAATATTCTACGACTGAATAATACTCATGCATTTTACTTTTAGATTCATATAACAGTTTCAAAGTTATAGAACTAATTGAAATAACATTTTAAAAAGCATTTTCACTGAGTAAAAAATAGTAATTTATCTTAGTTTTTTTTTTTTTTTTTTTTTTTTTTTTTTTTTTTTTTTTGTAAAAACATAAAGATACACAGTAGCTTCACATTTTAATTATTCTAATGTTTTCAGCTAATGTTCTGCTTTGATTAATATGCATTAAACTAACTCAAGAAAAAGATAAACATAATGAGTGAAATCTTCACATAAATTGTCTGTGTAATCTAACAGTTATAAATTTCAGTAATTTCATTACCTTTATAATTACCTCCCATACAAACTAGTGACTTTAAATTCTCTGTGAATTTAGGATCAATCCTGTGTGCCAAAGCCACATTTGTTAAAGGACCAACTGCTATAAGAGTAATTTCTTTGGGATACTTCTTGACTAGCTGTAACAGGGCTATAACAGCCGGAATTTCATCTTCTTTTAAATCACCAGTGGAAAATTCATGTCCACGATTTCCTAATCCATCACGTCCATGAACAGTTTTTGGATTTGCCTGTGTACACAAAGGTTTGCTACAACCCTTGTGAACAGGAATCTACATAAAAGAAGCAAACAAATTAAATACCAACAAAAATACTTGAAATATAAGGAAATAATTACATTTAATGCCTGGTGAAATAAATAATTATAAATACATATAGTATTTTAAAATTTCGCATGTTTTAAATGCAAAATTATCTATAATTTTGAATTTAGTAAAGACCTGCTAGAATTTCCCAGTTTTTTCACTCAAAATATAATGAATGCTCTTTAATAATATTTTAAAAAGAGTTTCATTACAGATTTTGGTACTTTTCTGCTAACAGGACCGGATTCAGCAATATATGTCAGTATATGCATATGTATGCATACATATGCATATGTATGCATATATATGCATGCACATATATGCATATTTACACCCATATATGCATACCACATATGTATATATATATGTATTTCTGAATCTAATCCCTGATAACAGAAAAGTATCCAGATTTTCATTATGTTTGTATTCTGTTGGTATATGGAAAAGTACATGATTTTGAAAAATGTAAATATACAAAATATGTAACATAAATGTTTATAACTTTTGTTTTTTGAAATAAAATAATTAGTTGTAGTAAATTATGTAACACACTGAACATGTAGAAAATATAATTTTAAAGATAGTTAAAACACCTCCTTTAAAGGAGATAATTTTAAAGAAGACTTACATGACCTAATTTGTGATGGAATAAGCCCAACTGCCTAAAAAATCTACAGTTCTGCAATGAATACCATGAAGTTGTTTATGCATCTTAAGAATTAAACTGAAATCATCAGAGCTTAGATATGTGAAGTATAGAGGTTGACAGGGCAATATCCAACCCTGCTGATCCAACAAATCAATTGCAACTTGTGCTACCTGTACCTGTCCTGCAAAATGATCACATCCTGTAAAAAGTGCTGTTGTTTATCTCTCAAAGCCAGTATCAGACTGTTTCCAGAATTGTACAATAATACAATGTAGTGGCAGTGTGTTCTGCAGTTAAGGTTATATCAGTAAAGTCATACAGAAATTTTATACTGTTGTGATTCTGATGAATGTTCTGTCTTTGTGGTGATCTATAATGATTTCACTTATTGATGATCTTGCTGGTTCTGTAAAACTAATTGTTGTTCTGCAGTTAAGGCAGTAGAGTAGACTTTAAGGTACCCCTTGTATTATGGCGAAGTTTTTGTTTCATTTATCGCCAAGTTGTTGTTTCATTTATGGTAGCCTGAGTAGTTGAATGTTATGGAAACCCTATTGTGACGTAATCGGGTGCATGATTCTGGGAAATTTTGAATCATGGGATGTTTTGTAAGTGTTTTTGATTCTTTAGACTATAGAATGGCCGAATGTAGTAAGATTAATTTGAATTTTCTGTACGATTTGGAGCAAAAGGGGAAAAGAGCTTTAATTGACTGGTGTGTAAATGAAGGTTTACTTAGTAGCCGTTATAAGTGTCCTGTACATAGGAAGGATATGCGCTTAGTCGAACGTAAAAACCGTTTAGATGGATTTGAATGGGTTTGTAGGAAGAAAGGTTTAGATGGTCACTATGTGAAGCGTTCGATCAGAAAGAGTACCTGGTTTGAAAAAAAGTCATTTGAGTATGATTGATATTTTGATTTTTACGTGGCTCTGGGTGTACGAAGCGAACTCGAAAATCATGGTAAGTGAATATTTACTTTTGGTAGTGCTTAAATGTATAACATATTTTTCCTTTTTTATATTATTTTATTGAGATTATGTATTTTTTGTTTGCCTATATTTTAGAATTTGGTGCTCCTTTGACTTTTTAAGTGAAAATATATTGATGTGTACATGGACAAAGTAGAGGGAGTGCGCAATGCAAGTTTGTGCAATTCTGGGATTTTTTTAAGTGAAAATAGGTCGACATGTACATGGATAAAGTTAAAAAAGTGCACAATAATACAAGTTAAAAAAGTGCGCAATGCCATTTTTGTGCAATTCGGGGATTTTTTTTAAGTGAAACTAGGTCGACGTGTACATGAATAAAGTTAAAGGAGTGTGCAATGCCATTTTTGTGCAATTTGGAGATATTTTTTTTAAGTGAAAATAAGTCGATGTGTACATGGGTACCAAGTTTGTGCAATTGATTGTCTTGTTATTTTGGCTTGGTGTAGCGGCGATGTTTGGCGCAAAAATCACCACTTCGCATGCCAAAATAATGAGTCAAAGAATTGCACAAAATCGGTATCCATGTGCCGCCAAAAATCGCCAAGGGGTACCCTAAACTATACTTTTACCCAGTTAAGGTTATATCAGTAAAGTCATACAGAAATTTTATACTGTTGTGGTTCTGATGAATGTTCTGTTTTTGTGGTGATCTATAATGATTTCACTTATTGATGAGTGATGATCTTGCTCACATCTGGTTCTGTAAAACTAATGCAGATTGTTTGAAAACTTCTTAAAGGCCTTGATGATACTGTTCTACTGCATGACCTCTAGTGCCTCTAGTCCCATTCAATACTGTTGCCCCTGTTTTGAAAACATGGTGACTACATTACGTTAGCACCAGGCTCTATTCTCATAACAATGCTAAAGCATGAATTGACTAACACATGGGATAAGCAGCATAATCTGATTCTTACAATATAACCTCTTTACAGCAATATTGCCATTAATAAATTTCCAACTCTCAAACTTATTACTTGCAAGACATCATTTGTCATTAACATGATTATTCCTGCAACATCTGTAAAGCATTATACTGTTGAAAAGAATACTGCATTTACATACATGTGCTTTTATGGTGTCAGTGATTACTATATCCAGCTAACAACTGGAACATGAATAGTTTGAATCCTAGAAAAAGCACAGTGGATTCAAGTTTCTTACTTTAAGAAACTTAATTGTAATAAAGATTAGTTTCAGAAAAAAAAAGCACTATGCATTTCAAAGGAATGTGATATAAATCCGTTTTCTTGAAAAAGCAAAAATACCTATGCAGTACACAAGTCATATACATATTAAAATTTCAAGTAAATTTAAAATTGTTTCATTTAGCATCATAGTAAGACAGTTACCAGCCACTGTGATATATGACAATTGGTTTGGAACTGAAAACAACATTTTATTATACAATAAGATATTTTTTTGAGGATTTTCCATGTTAACAATGGTTACCTGACAAATCATTAGGTAAAACATTTTGGCACCTAGCACAGACAGTTTTGCTGATAGAAAAGTACAAATGAAAACATGCATTGGTATAGACAAAGAGCCTAAAATACATCTGAATGAATCTGGTTTATAATATGTAATATGACAACTGGAAATGACTTATTTAGAACCCAAACAGTATTTTCTTACTGGTGCAGCACCTAAATTTTGAGGTGTAATTATAACTAAAATGCACAAAGGTTATAATTTATATAAGACAATGCAAGAGTCGAGAAAAAATGACATGCATAATTACCTAACGTAACTTGTATACAATTTAAACAGTCTTATAATATACATATTGCATAAACATTGTAGGGTTTATATTTATTTTAACTAACATTTATTTTAAGTTTAAACTATCTTTCCTGTCAAGCCTTACTTTCCCCTGGAATTGCCAATGCCAGAGTATGTAAATTTTAGTAGAACGCGCAAGGATTCAAATTATCAGCGGAAGTATTCTGAGTTAAATAGAAAGGAAACGAGTTCGAAAGTGTGCTTTCTTGCTTCACGAGCGTGGAGGTGGCTAGTTAGAAATTGAAGAACCCACGCGTTCGGCCTGTGTGCTTGCCTCGCAAATTGTTAATCTTTCAACGTAATATTCAGAGTTTGCTGAATTATCACGGTATTTAGAACGCTTGAGTTAATCCGTTTTAGAGAGCCTCGTAGTTAGCCACTTGTTATTATCTTTCCAGTTCTTATTTTATTTTTTACCGCCGAGTCGGCGTAGTTTGTGAGCGTCAAGAGACGCATTTGTAATTTCTAAAGTTGAATAAAAGGGATTTAAACCCTTCTCAAACTTGGTCTATTTCCAGTTCTCAGCAGTCACCACTTTGTTGCGTGCAGGTTGGAAGCGCGCAACTTTACAACCTTAATCTAAATTTACTTGTGTATGCCTATGATTTTCCATCCAAATCATATGTGAATTTCAAATACTTCAAAGAATGTTTCTTTAATGAGAAAATCCTATTTACAAGATGATTTAATTTTAAGTATTCTTTTTTTACATGCATGGCTGAAAATTTCATTATGAAATAAAATCTTGCATTCTTGCAACCAAAAAGCAAGAAGAAAATGCAGAAATCACAACAGTGCAGAAATAGCAACATAACAGTAAAAAGCAAAAATTAAATTCAGCTCACCTCTGTACTATCACAGAGCACAAGAACACGCATTACATTTTTGCACACATTTTCAATAGTAGTATTTCCAAATACACATGTAACAGCAACAACCTGAGCAATATCTTTGTGGTTCAAAGCTAACATCAACGCCATAGCATCATCAATGCCACAATCGGTATCTATAATAATCTTTGCTTTCTCTTTTTCCATGTTAACCATCTTATCAGTAGCTATTAGGAGAGAAAATTAAGTTGTTCATTTTCTAATAAGATGATAACAAATAATAACTAAAGTTCGTAATAATTTTAGCATAAATGTATAATAAATAAACACAATTTAAACAATAATAAAACGTTTCCCATTACAGATTGATAATTCGAATGCATTTTCCATGAAATTCAGTTACACTTGTAACCTTTTTCTCAATAATAAGCAAAGTACACCATTAACATCAGAGACTTTAAAAGAAATTCAATTAAGTTTTCATTTAAGAATAATACCTTCCTAAGGACTGACTGTGCTCAGAAAGATTGCTTACATGACAAACTTTCTAAAGAAACTGCTTTTATTTGCTCTGATAATTATTAAAATCCTACATATTTTAGCTTAAGTTTAAATACAGTGAGTCCCAAAATTGAGGGTACACTTAATGCTAACTTAATTTGTAGGCTATTGACAATAGAAATCATTATGCAAGTTTTCCTAGTTTTGTCTCATTAAAATATATACATTTTGCTTCTTACCTGCACAAAAAATAAGTTATAAAACTCCGTTTAAAAAATATATTACTTAAACGAAAATCTTCAACTTCTGAAAGTCACAAAATTGAGAGTATACTTCTTAAATGACTGTGTAAAACTACCAGTAAAAAAACAACCTTTTAGTATACAAAAATACAACCTTTTAGTATCCAAATATTTCAAATTTGAACTTACTACCTTTCTGTGTGACAAATATTATGGAGAATAGGAAAGAAACGACGATTGAGGAAAGAAAACTGGACATTAATCTGTCTAATCAAGGCAAATCTTTGAGAAAAATAGGGAAATACTTGGAAGAAGTGTAAATTGTATTAGAAGAATCATTCAAAAATTTAGAAAGGATGGTACGCTGGAAAACCAAGCAGAGAGAGGCAGGAAGAAAATTCTCATTTCAGCAGCAGAGAGGAGAATTGTACACAAGGTAAAGATTGAGCCTACAATAAGTGCTCCAAAAATTGCTACAAGTACTTTGGAAACTGTGGGTAAATCTGTTTCTGCAGAAACAGTGTGCAGAATCCTCAGAAGGGCTGGTTATAATGGCAGAAAAGCTCTCAAAAAGCCCTTCATTAGTAAAATAAATAGAGCTAAGAGATTAAAATTTGCTAAAGAGCACATCTAAAGCCTAAAGAGTTCTGGAATGATGTTATTTTCAGCGATGAGAGTAAATTTAATGTTTTTGGCAGTGACGGTCATCGTGTGGTATGGCGCAAGAAGAATTCAGCTTTAGATCCAAGAAACACAATTCCAACTGTGAAGGCATGGAGGTGGGTCAGTAATGGTTTGGGGCTGTATGGCATCATTGGGAATTGGAAAGCTAGTGTTTATTGATGGAATAATGGATAAAACAGGTTATCTTAATATATTGAAAAATAATTTGAAGGACAATGCTACTCAATTGGGACTAGGATCAAAATTCACATTTCAACAGGAAATGATCCAAAGCATACAGCAAATACTGTCAAAGAATGGCTGCTGTATCAATGCGGAAATCAACTGAACACACCCCCTCAACCTCCTGATTTGAACATGATCGAAAATTTGTGGTCCCACCTTGAAAAAGAGGTTCGAAAACATCAGATCACAAGTAAAGAACATTTGAAGCATGTACTAAAAGTGAAGTGGAAAAACATTTCACCCGAAATTACGAAAATTCTTGTCGATTCGATGTCCGGTGGCTTCGAGCCAGTGGGTATGCTACAAAATAGTAATGTGTTGTTTTTTTATAATTTATGTAATAAAACAATTACACGTACCCTTAATTTTGTGAGCTCAGATTTTTGACGATTTCTGTTGTACATTTTGTTTCTGTATTTCATGCATTTTTTTATGTCTATTTATGAATAAATATTAAGATTAGGTATCTTTCTACATCCTCGTCTAAAGGTTTTGGTGACTATCTTTGTCTGACAGTTTTTGTTTTCATTCTAAACATGAATTCTGTTGTAGAATGGAGTGTACCCTCAATTTTAGGACTCACTGTATGTTATAACAATAGACTAAAATAATGGAAAATATTGATATATTAATAATATGTCCAAAATGTTAGTATCACTCAAAATAAAAAAAAATAAGAAATAAAGGATAGAAAGTGTGACTTAAATTCTATAATGTTTAATCCCTATTTCACAACATGCATAACAATGTGAAAACCTGTACACAAAATTTCAAATGATTTTATGAAGAATTTTTGGAGCTATCATTTTTTGATGTGAATATAAATCAAAAGGGGGGGAATTGCAGAAATCACATTTCTTCAGTTCTCAATTAAGTCTTCAGTTCAACACTACATAATATATATATGCATAACTGTTTACTTAAAACGGTCTTGCTTTATATGTTTCTCAAAAGAACATTTTTGTTTTGCTTTCGAACTTCTTTCACTTTTTCCAATGAAAGTGAAAGAAGTTCGAAAGCAAAACAAATTCATGAAATTCCAATGAAATTTGACAAAATTCAATAAATACCTTCAAGAAGGCACAATTTTCATGACATCTAAGTTTTAGTAACCAGGACTGACTTATTTCTCTAATATTTTAATATGGCCAAAAAATTACATTAATATGGCATCAAATATTTGTGTATTTAAGCTCACAAACAGTATATTTTTAGGTATTATACGTTAGACAGTGTTATTAAAATATTTGTTGGTATTCTGAGTTTTTCCATGCATACATTTTTGTTACATTTCTCTGTTATGTATTTATCAAATTTAAAATAGCTATTGGCAGTCCTTTCGCTTTTACATTTTTTATTTTGAGTTTATACCAGTTGTTCACATCACAAGGGTAATAAATCACAAGGGCATTAAATCAGAGCCATAGCTAAGGCTTCAAGCTATTTTCTTACATGTGCTATAATAATGAGTTAAAGCTTTAATGTCTAAAAGTTTTCAGTCTGAATGGCCTGTCAGTAGCTGAGTGGTAAAACTGCTGAATACTGGAAGTTGGACCCAGGTTCATGTCTCAGCAAGACGAGCTGGCTGAATGGGAGTTTTCAGGGCTTTTCCCATGTATTACATGAATATAAACCAGTTTCCTTCCAAGAAGCCTCTTCCCTTAGACAGATAACTCTCAAGTACTTTGCTATATCCAAAATAATCTGAATCCTCTTCAATCTAAATAGAAACAATAAATACAAAATCATTCTATGATGAATAGCCTTTTTCTTTGCAATGTCACCAAAATAGACATTCTGTTACTGCAGTTTTATTTTTACACTGTGATAATTGCTAACTTCAAATGTGGCATTCACCATCAAAGTATTAGGTACTGCAGAAAAATCACTGGTACTCTTCTGTCATCAGGACAGGATTCAGAAATGTATGTATATATGCATGAATGGATGTGTTCTTGTATGCATGTATCTATGTAGATACATGCATACAAGTAGATACATGCATTCAACATACTATGTAGATACATGCTATGTACATACATGCAACATACTATGTACATGCAATATACAACATACTATGTACATACATGCATACTATGTAGATACATGCATACAACATACGTATGCATGTGTATGTATACACATATGCAAATATATACATATGTACATACACACACATTTCTGAATCCGGTGCCGATAACAGAAGAGTTCCAAAACACTGCAAATGCAGACCTAAAGTTTACATATTTACAGCTGTAATGACCTCTCAGCTTTTCTGAAGATGAAGAAGTTTTAATTAAATGCATGACTTGCAGCTCATTATGAAATATCAATATAAACAGAAACGTAGTGATAAATTGGTCGTCTGACGTACCGAGCAGCAAGGTGACAAGATAATATTTACAAGACTAGAAATTTCAATAATACGATTACCATTTAATTCATTTAACTCACGTTTAGACAATTTATAGAACTAGCTCACGGAAATATTTGTTTTATTAGCATTACCTAGCTTGCTAGTGTAACGATTACCATAAAATCTTCGCTTTTTCGGACGATTAGATCTATATTTAGGCATTACAGATTTCAGAGTATGAAAAGTAATTAAAATAAGTAAAATAGATTATTTGTTAACTTAAAATTAGCGCTACCTGGTCGTAAACAAACCAATTAGTCCGATAAGTTGTTGCCAAACTGAAATGAGAAAATGCATAATCAATGTATCAAATTCAAACACAAACACGGCAGCATAAAATTTCAAATTTAAAAGTAAAAAAATGCATCCTTAGTTTGGTGCTGATTTTGAAAAAGGCCTCTATAGATTTCGAAGAGCTTAGACACAAATACCTCTTCTTCGGCAGCAAAAGAATTTGTATGAGGTGATTCCGTTGAATTTATCCTCAGAAAACACTTTACTCTGAAAATCTTTTAACTTAATTTAGGAAAGATAAAGGAAAGAAAGACCATATCTCAGTGCTTAAATTGCGGCGGAGCCCACCGGAGTCCCGCTCCGATGCTTCTCAATTTTTAAGATAAATTACAATTTCAGAGCGCACCGGAGCCTTAAATAAGATGAGCTCCGGTACTTCTTTTTATAAAATGAATCACAATTTAAAGGGGAAAAAATTAGAATTTCTAACGTTTTAGTTTAACAACAAGCAAACCTTGCAATACTTTTTTTCCCTAGAAATACGAAACTCGTGAGAACATGAGACGTTCAAGTCCCCTCGCTCACATGCGGAAACTTTCCCCTTTAAGAAGGGCAAGAAATTTGGGGAAGTTTGTTTAGGAACGCGTAAATTTGTCGCCATGCCATTGTATCTAGTGTATTGTTATCGATGCTTACAGTTAGTTATTCTCGTAGGAAGGAAAATTTGTGTTCTTAAATTAGCGTTAAGTGACAGCGAGTACAATAAGAGTGAAATACGGAGATAAACTGCTCAAGCACGTCCTATACATCGTCTTCCCACAGTATCCACTAATGTGGGGGGAAGCAGCGTAAACAGCAATATTACATTCATCCTTAGGAGTTAGATTCAGAACTCATTTTACCCTTGACAGGCATCTGCTTAATGGCTAGAATTACATCAGCAGAGAGCCGCGGGTCAAAGAGAACGCTCTCTCTCATCAAGATGCCCCTCATTTTTTTGTTCCCACCCAGTCATACCCTCATTCGGTTTCGCCCTGGAAATTTCATCAGCTATACTCTAAGTATATTTAATTTTTGTGATGATAAAATAACTCCCCCCCCTACAATCAGAGCTTAAATTGAGCCCACCGGATCTCGGCTCCGGTGATTCTTAGTTTTTGTAATAAATTATAATTCCAGCCGGAACGCACCGGAGCCCTGAATAAGAAGGCTGCGGCACTGCTTTTATGTAATTGAGTAAAAATTTCAGTAGAAATTTTATCTCGAAAATTTTATTTTAGCAATAAAATTATATTAAAAATCGCATATTAAATTTCAAGTTATCTCTTTATATTTTATTTAATTTTAATTATTTAATTACTTAATTTAATTTTAATTATAATTATCTTTAATTGTTTCAATAAATAATAATTAATTATCTAATAATCATCAATTAAATTATAAATACTTAATTATCCAATAATTATCAATTAAATTATAATTAATGACATAATAATTATTGATTAAATAATAATTTATAAACATTAATTAAATAGCTACTAATTACTTTGATAATAATTAACTATTTAATTTAAAAATTATTAATGAGTTAAATAGTCATTTTATTTATTTATTTACTCTTGTTCCTCTTTGCTGACGGTCTTCCATAGGGCTGCGGCACTTCTATTCTTAGAAATTAAGCCCTGCCATATCCCTCGTAAAAAGTGCTGGCTGTTACTGAGAAATGCTATGGACTAATCACTTCAGTGCAAATCTCTTTATCGTAGTCGACAATGAGGTGATATCAGAATGTTCAAGAATATTCAGAGAGCAGGTAGGGAAAATTAAAGCCAGATACAAACAAACGGTGGCTTAAAATGCAACGATACAGGGACAAATAACACCTACTATTTAATATGAACATGCCATTCAAGGGACAACCAAGCTTATCTGTGCTGTGAAGATGAAAAGCTAAGTAACGAAATTTTCGCCGCTCAGAAGATAAGCAGCAAACTGTGAGTTACTATTATCCATAATTTCGTACTGAAAAAACTGAGCAATAGCTCACAGTGCAGCAATGAACTGCTTTGCGAAAAATGATCTCATAGAGAGTGCGTAAAATTTCGCTGATCCAGTGCAGTATGAGCCCCTTATGAAGTAGACTCGTCCTGAAAAGATAGTGTGCATTAAATTTAAATCTAAGCACCCTATTCTGCAATTTCGCGTAATGCTCGAAGAAAATATATCTCTTATGATAAAATGAGGCATAAATGATCACAGATCGAATCGCTGAAATATATATGTGTTCCTACACTTCCAATTACAATCTGGAGTACTTTCTTCCACTGTGTAAGTTATTTACTTTGCTGCACATACAGAAGTGTAGCTAGGGTTTTCAGCGCCCGGGGCAACTGAAGATTTTGCGCCCCTCTCTGTGTGCCACGAATGGAAAACATTTCATTCTAGAATTTCGTACCATCAATTTGGCGCCCCTGGATGCTGCGCCCGGGCACAGATGTCCCCCTTTGCCCTACCCTAGCTACGCCACTGTGCACACACAGGCAATTTGATCAGTCAAAGTTAGTGTGTGGTTAAGTAATTAACTATCAGGACAGTAGTATCAAATAATTTGAGATCAAAATCAATTAACATCTTTGTGTCTTCTGACGACGAATTGTTAAAACTTGAGTTTATGTAAATTCCCCCACAGACGACGTTAGTTTAAGAACTGCAAGTTTCAAGCTCATGGTTTCAGGCTCTCAGGTTCAGGAAACTGTGGATTTGCAGTTATAAGGTATTTCTCCCGCCTTCCTAGCGTGCCTTCATGGTGTAGTGGTTCTGCACGCTGGACCGGTATTCCAGAGGTCCGTGGTTCGATTCCCGGCGAAGGCGGTTGCTAATTTTTCATCCTCCGGCTTTTGCAATTAACCTAATGTCTCTATAAACCTTTCTGGAATTGTTCAGGAAATATATAATTTCTTTTTATCATCTACACATAGATGGGCAATACTGTTGTAAGTCTTCAAAGATGATTCAAAAGTTTAAAAGTCTTTGTCAAAGACTAGATGGGAAGCACATTCAAGGGCCACAAATGCAATACTTGATAGTTATAATGGAATAACTCTGCAATCAGCTGCATATTATTAATATACACAGAAAAGCAAAACAAGAAATCAGGGCATAAACATTTTGAATAAAATGGATGAATTAGGATTTATGGTAATGTTATATTTGTGGAGTTACTTGCTGGATGAATTTCACAAGACTAGTAAATCACTTCAAGACCTCCAAATTAGTCTAGATGTATGTAGTAAATTGTATGCTTCGCTTTCGGATTCTGTTAAATATTCCAGGGATATATTCGATCATTTTGAAGAAAAAGCAAAAAAAAAAAAAAAAAAAAAAAAAAAATTTGCCTGATGCTGATTACAAGAAAAGGAGATATAGAAGAAGGCGTATCAATGATGATAAAGATAATGCTTTAGAGCACGTTGGACCAAGAGGCAAGGTCAGAAACAAAATATTTATACATGAGGCATTAGAGTCACGTCTGGCACAGAGGACTTCAGTATACAATGAAGCTGCAAAATGTTTTTATTCTTAACAAAATTAGTAGCTACAGAAGAAGAGTTTCGAGATGACGTTAGTGCTTTATGCTAAACATATTCTGAAGACGTGGACATGAATCTTATAGGAGACGGCTAGCATTTTCATCAGTACGTTATACATAGTCAAGCCTATGATTCAGCGGAACATGATAGACTGACACATCACGATATGTATAGGGTAATATTTAATGATCGTGTCCAATCAGCATTTCCTAATGCAGAAGCAATTTTGGGATTGTTTCTTAATATGATGGTTGCAAATTGCCCTGAAGAAAGATCTTTTTCTCAACTGAAGAGGATAAAAATTTAAATTAGAACGACTCAAGATAAATTACGTTCCCTCAGTCTCTCGTGCATAGAAAGTGGCAAACTACACAGTTTATCATTTGATGATGTCATCACCCAAGTAGCACACAAAGTTGCAAACTAGACCGAAAGGCTGTAAAGTGGCCGTGGTAACTTTCACGATGTCTTTACAACGTTGCGAAGACGCAAAATACTTGCCGTTGCATCTTGGCAATTTGTCGACGTCACTGAAACGTCACGATATGACCGCTTTTAGACGTGGTCGTTTTAGCATTTTTTCATAGTTCATCAGCGTTACTTTTAGAATTAAAAGAGACTAAATCTGTCCTTTCAAAAATCTGAAGTCCGCATAAGATTTATTTTGCAATGTTTCATCACTTTATTTCATCTAAATATATTAATCTAAGGTAGCTTCATCTAATGAAATATAAATTTAATATAAATACTTTTAATTTATTAAATAAAATATGTGCTAAATAACTGCTTAAAATTTTGTTAAAATAATTAATACTTAAAATATTTTTTATAAATATTATAGCAAAATATTTAAAAGTGAAACTAATCCATAAAGTAAGTTATTAAGTTATGCATTTTATATATTTTAAAAAATCATATTTCAATGCAAATCACATGTTAGCAATTATTTCACTCTACTGAAATATGACTTTATTTATTATTTTTGAAGTAAGGACGAATTTGTTTGAATTAATATGGTTATAAAATATGAAACATTTTACCGCATACAGCGCAGAAAGTACAGTTTTCCCGAAGGTATGATTGTGCGTGAAGATGTATTCACGGATAAAAATGGGGCGATTTTAAGAATCCGAGAAAACGTCCAATGTTAAAAGACGATGCATATCCATGCATATTTAACGGCTGTCCAATGTATATGACGGAAAACTCACCGACAGTCAGGAGAAGAGGAACGGAAACATTAATGGAAAAGGAGAAAGAAATATTAACGTTTTGATGGAAACGACAAAATGAATGGATTTGATAAATTACTAATAAATGTGGACATAAAAATTAGAGAAACTGGGAACAAAAATACAAAATTCATTATCTATAAAAATTCTCAACTGTTTGTTAAGTTTC